ATGGCACCCATATCTCCGCGGCCCACCCTCATGAGGCAGTGCAGGGTGCGTCCTTTTCGGTGCAGTCCAGAGCAGTGGCCCTCGATCTCGCTGCGGCAGTGGAGCACAATCTCAGGGCTCAGGGAGAAATCCTCCATCAGCATCCTCCTGTAGTCCATCATCTCACCCTGGCACTCGCCACTCACCACACGACCTGTTTCAACATGACATGCACACACACACACACATCAGTACAGCAGGTCAAAGGTGAGGAGGAAGAAGAGTGGGTAGAGTCAAGGTGAAATTCGCTTATTTTAGCTTTGAAAATTTCTTCGTAGCAGTCTGAACTAAAGATGCTGTATCATATATTTACTCTTAAAAATGCAGAAAACAGAAATTATTTTGAACAGTTTGCAGTGGTCTAAAATCATTCCTCACTTTCATAACATATTCCTGGCATCTTACTTATTCACCACAGTGCACCGGCCTTACTTCCCATTTTCAAGATAATTGCTAGATGCAGACAGCACACAATGGTCTAATTTTTACCACAATAGCTGTTTATACAATATACCTGTGCTGGGGCAAAACAAATTACTTTGTAACATAAAAAAAAATATATAACTCATTTAAGGTAAAGGTTAAGACATGCTTTTATATTCCTATATGGAGATTTTTACTTGGCATTTGACCCAATCCTTAGTAACAACTGAGCAGTTTTGATCAAGACTGCCCAGTAAATTTATCATCCCCACTGCTGTTTAAGCGTCATTAAGAACCCAGTTACTCCCTTTCTAGCTGATGGTAGAAACCTAAGTAGTCGTGAAGAGAAACTGTAAACTCCATACAGAAAGACAATCCTATTAACCTCAAATTTACATAGACTGAATGTTAGAAGTGATTACAAAAGCAAGCAGGCCCTCCTCTTTTGCACATCTTCAACCATCAAAATAAATTGTACCTGAGCCTGGCACTTTTGTCTTATGCACCTTCTGCCAAATCCAATCGTTTACACTGCGTGGCCTCCATGAACCAAAGAGTTCGCGGTGCTAACAGAGTGCCCTGTCAGATAGTTCCACCATCACATTAAAGCACTGGACAGTTTAGCCTGCAGCATAAGCAACAGGGGCTGAAGGATCCCACTGCAATGTCTTGACAAACACTGCATATATTTTTTAAAGCAATCGATATTCAGAGTCATTCCATTTGACTGAAAAAATATCCGATTAACAAAACAGAAGGCTGAATGATTGTTGAATTAAGTAAAATAGTATTTGGGATTATATTTGCATTTTTTGTTTTCAGCAAATATTAGGCCATTTTAAACATTCAGCAGCATTACAAATTGAGAAAGGATTGAAATAGCAACTGCACAGAACAAATGTATTGTAAAGGTTTACTCTTGGGGTAAATTAGACCACTACCGTCCACACCTAATTATAAATTGTTTTATTGTACTAGAATCAGGAAGTGCACTGTTGGCATGCAAATTCTATTTTAGCTTTACGTTTTATGATGGCAAAACTCTGCTCTGGCGTCTGGTTGTTTTTGTGAAAAGTGCTATAATCATCACTGTGATGCATTAAGAGGTGAGGAATAACTTTGGACCACTGTTTAAAATGAAAACATCAGGTACAGCACCTTTAATAACTGCCAACATTTACATTGCAACTATTAAATTCCTCTGTCCCTGTGGGGCCCTCACCTCTGTGCACAGCAGACTCCAAGCACAGCAGCAGGTAGGAGAGGCGAGCTTCTCGGGCTCGGGGCATGTTTGTGTCCACACTGCAGCGGTACTTCCTCAGATCAGACTTACACGACTTGGCCAGAGAGTAGCTCACTTTGTAATCCTGAGCAATCAGCTTCTGTCGCGTGGTCAGGGCCTCCCGACACTGTAGATCACACAAAACAGAATATGATCATGTGTAAGATAATGAATAGAACTAGGGTTTAATCATTTCGTTTCGCTTTATTATTTCTACACCTTAATTAGCCTTAATAATGCATAAAGTATAAAGTGTAGTTACTGTAAAGTGTTACCAATTTCTTTTTCTAAAGAAATTCTAAATTGTAAAATTGTGTAAAAACTTGTGCAGTAGTTAGATTCTTTTTGGAAATCAACTAGGCAATTATTAATCTTTCTTTGTAAAATTTTAGCTCCCTTCTTTGTAATAAAACCTCTCCTCCAGAACGACTGATGAGTGTGTGTATAGTCCAGATACAATAATGCTTTATTATTTAAATTAAAGGCCAACAGAGGTCAACAGAAAAAAACAACAACAAAAAACATGATCTTATGGAGTAAAAAAAGGACTTACCCTCTCTGACATTGCCTCCTCAAACTTGTGGTTAAACAAGCATTTGTAAACTCGTCCTTCCCCAGCCAGTGTCTGAAGAAATCAAGCCAAAGGTTGAAATAATAAACTATAATTATTTAAATACATGTTACAAAAATGTATCAAAATAATAATGAAAATGTTAAAAACCCTGCAATTGCAATCACTGGATTTGCTCACATACACATCATCATCTAATTATTATCTGATTTGAGAGGCAAAGTGCAAAATCTGATGTGAGTAATCAGAGAAACCATGACCAGAAAGAAAGAAGGTGATTTTGCTGTTTATTGGTAATTTTATTGGTCTAAAAACAAACAAAAAAAGATAATTATAATATTTGGAGTGCGCATACAACTGCAGTCACTGACAGCAGTTATGTAAAAGAAAATTTGAGTGAACAACCAATATCCTATATACAGTTACCACAAAGAGAGTGAAATATCCCAAGCATTTGTTCATTTTATATAAATTTTTTTTTTTTTTTTTATGTATTCAGCAATTTAGCAAAAGCCACTCTCACAAAAAATCATCCAACTTTTCCATTACAATTCCAAGTGTCCCCCTCTCCCTTTAACACTCACATTCTCACAGAAGCGCTCACGGTCCTCCCTGCAGGCGAAGTACAGGTATCTGTCCAGGTGGAAGTCATCGGAGGAGAGCTCAGCCACTCTCATGATGGCCTTCTTACACTCGTCCTTTATGACGTGAGCTCCCGGCTGCTCCTCTGCCTCCCTCACCAAGCCCTTCTCCAGACAAGCAATCACCTCTCCCTGAGAATGGACATCCTGGAGCACAGGGGACAGACGGTTAGGACAGAGACAGGGAATTTGTGTTTGGAAATTCAGCATATGGAAACTTGAAAACTTGGGAAGCCATTGTTATGATAAAAGAAAAGAACATCTGGAGTGCAGCAGGTGAACTCAAGTGACCAGAAGAGAAATGTATAACAGGGAAGTTTGGTCATTCAAGTTAAAAAACAAAATATGTCTTGGCCAAGAACAGATTTAGCAGCTCTTGATGTCATAAGTCCTCTCTCTGTATTATAATGTGTTTTATTGTCCAATAATAAAGTTATTAACTTTACCAAGATGGCCAAACTCTGTAGTGGTCTCTGAGTTGTGAAAAGCACTTATAAACTCACCATGGTGACTAATTAGGATGTTCAGAATGCACAAGGTAAGTGAGGAATACCTTTGGACCACTGCAGTACTCTTTAAAATGAACTACTTCCGTTTTCCACATTTTAAAGACAGTAAAGATCAGGTACAGTGCCGTTAATGTTAGGAGTTGTTATAAAGCACCTTCTACATTTGATTCACCAGAAAAGACACACACAGAGTACCTACAAACAGAAGTTTAAATAAAAATTTGTAAAGTTGTAATTGCCTTCTGTTACCTACCAGTGGACAAAAGATGGAAATTTGCATCTTACAATGCATATTTATACAATGCACTTACTCATTAATATGCACTGTCACTGTTAAATAAAATATAACTAAACCCTTAATTCAATGTCAGCTTGTTTAATTTATATTTTATAAATGTTTGCCCTTACCTGATCCAGCAAAACTGAAAATGTACTCTATGTCTCTTTAGTCAATAAAAAACACAGTACTGGCTGAAGTCGTTATCAAACCTATGACCTTGGATTTGATGGGTGAACACTCTGACCAACCAGCACAAGTTATTCCCACACATGCACCACGTTAATCTAGCATACAAGCAGAACTCCAGCTCAACAATAATTAAGTTGTCGTTTAAAAGGCTCTTTAATAAAATGCTCTGTTTCGCCTTGTGATGTAATGAAGCGGTGGTGTGCAAGTTAGCAGCTACCTTTTATATTTAGTTCAGTAGAGATTGACAGTTACAGGGCTGAAATTATAGAAATGATTCTAGTGAAGGTGTATGGAGTTTAAAAAAACAATAGAGCACTTTATGTATTACCACATGACATCATAATGACTGTTTTTTGTTTGAGAGAAGAACTCAGTATATGCAGGGTTTGTGTTAAACATGTGTGACTAAAATAAAATAAAACTCCAGGTATGTCTGAGTTTTTGTGATAAGGAAACAACATTATAACATACATCAGAAAATGGCATAATATAGGCTCTTTAATTTACAAAGTTGGACAGAAGAAAAATAAAGATGTACTTGCATTGAGATCCACACTTTCTCTTTTCATTTGCAGGATTTTTTTTGTGTGTGACGAGGTCTGACACTTTGCATCACGCTCAAAGTTAAAATTAGCCACAACATGGTCAGCCTAATCTGCACTCGAGCGGCTCTGGCTCCCTCAACATGTCGCTGTGACCAATTCCTGATAATGGAAGACTTCTCTCACAAATACACAGTTAGCTCTGAGCTCCTCTTGTGCCGATATGATATCTTATTATAAATGCATGTCTAATAGGCTCACTGGCTTCAGCTGGGCTTCGCACTGAGAGACACATTTAAAAGCACATTGATTTGCTGTGGTGCCTGATAACCCGCTGTCACTATTGACTCACATTGAATATTGTTTACTATGAATGCGGTAAGGTTAAAATAACTGCTTCAGATAGTGTAACATATTGATTTAGCATAAGGGCTTTCTTAGCACAATATACTGGGAGGAATTTTGTGGTAATATACGCATGAGCTTTGATAATTTTAGACTAACAATAAAATTTTTCATTCCCAGATTTTTTTTAAGCTAATATCAATACCCAATATTTGTCATGCTGTTGCCAACAATTTCAATATTTGTTGTTGTAGAAAAGTTTCCAAACTGATTTTCCATTTGAAAATTGTGTAAACATACAGCTATTGCTGTTCTGTTTCCATTGCAACTCCCTAGTCTGTTTAAAAAGACACATGTGATGCACTGGGTATGACATACTTCCAGACTTTACAAAATATATTAGATTCATCATGAGGGAATATTTCCATATAAAGCAGGCTAATAATATATATAGATATATTTTTTTAATCTGTGCACATTTGCTGGCAAGTTGTTGGCAAACTAAAACTGTAATGAGCTATGTGCACAAACATTGTGTTAGTTAGCAGTGAGTCTCAAAGATTATACTTATATTTATCAAAATGTAAAATATAAAACGAACAATCAAAATTAAAAGTAAACACTAACAGATTTGTTTTATATTTAGATTTCTTGAGGTTGTGGAGTTATTTACATTATTTTTATGACTCAAAATTTGCATTAGTATTGAGAGAAAAGGCCCCTATACTGAGAGAAGTGTCCTTGGGTGAATGATACATCTCATTTGTAAAGTAGATAACACACAAGACAGTGAATTGTGTAGCCATGTCACTGTCAACATGTTATCTTTAAGTTATTAATTGTAATGTGACTCAGCAAAAACTCCATAGCGATATAACTGGACAGGAAGTTGTATAGGGCCAAATGACAGTTGGTTTACAAGAGAGTTAAGTTGGTAATTTTTAAACTTAGACCTTTGTTCAGAGTTGCTGGTGTGTTCAATACTGGCAGCTACACAATGTGCAAGGGTGACACATTTTCTAATCCAATTCTTTTATTACACCTTAGGCAGTGTGGGAGAAAACTCATCTACAAGATATGGACTCCCTTTAGCTTTGTGCAAAGAAGAGGTTGTCCACAGTCAATGATTATGCACATGTGAACATATGCTAGTCTCCAGGATAGCCAGTAGAGGTATTTTATAATGAGGACATGTGTTATTGGAGTTATTACAGAGAAGAGGCAGTGCATGACCAGTTTGGAGGCAGCACCACTAATGAGACAGCTCCAGTAATGCTGAAAATCTTCTAGTGAAAATATTAATCATTTGAATAAATCAGTTCTATTTAAGGAGTTCAACTAAAACAGTATTGGAATGCAAGTTGTTCAGTACAGTTAAAATGTATTCATGCTTCTGTTAAAAAGTTGCTGACAATACTGCATTGTGTTATTTATACTTCTGCACAAACTTGACTAAAATTAATATAATATGAAAGACAAGTCAAAACTTAATTTATGCCAGATGCCCTTCCAGAGCCAATAATGTGACTAGAATAGGCAATGGGGTATAGGGCTGTCGCGGTTAGGGAATTTCTCCTGCGGTGTGATATAGCAGCTCAACACCACGGTATGCGGTGATACCGCACCGTCACGTTGGTCACGTGTGGTGATCACGGTGGCCCAACATGCACTGCGGTGGGCCTGTTAGTACCGCGGTCATTCAGCCTACTGACTGTGGAGAAGTGACCCTGCTTACTGTAGGAATGCATGTTTTTCAGTGTGTGTGTTTTTTCTTTTAGCAATAAAAACAACTGGAACTGAATAAACACAAGATAGAGATACTTTTGATGCAATATTGTAAACCATCCCAGACAAAATTATAAAATCTTTATGGACAAAAGCATCAGAAAGGTGCTAAGAAAAACACAACTAAACTAATGAATTAACAAACTTATTCTAGCATCTCATTGTAGTGGCTGGACCATATGTTTCAACAGCAAACTAAGTTCCATCAAGTAACCACAAAATTCTCTCCGTCTTGCCATTCTAATCTAAAGTTGTCTGTTATTAAAGCGACCCCCTTTCTCACCTTCTCTCCGGTGCTGATGGAGCCACAGTGCAGGGCGTTGATGTCCTCTCTGCACTTGTCCATAAAGCCACAGATCAGCCGGTAGTCACTGAAGATGATACTGGTCATTTTGTGGATGTACTGGTTGCACTGGTAGTCGCTGATATTGCCACGGTGATCCACCAAACAGGAAACCAGGTAACCCTTCCCCAGCTCTTCTGCTGCACATTCTTTGATCTGTAGAGAGGAATTTGAAAAAGAAAAGACTTTAGATAGTGTTTTGCAGTCATGCATTCGGTTTCTGGAAAGAGGGGACTTTCTGTGTGGAGTCTGCATGTTCTCAATCAAAAACATGCAGAGGAATCGAATCAAACATAAAATAAACATAAAAATAAACTGTCTTTTTTTTTTTTTTTTTGCTTCTCTTAAAAAAGATTTAAGAGATAAGACATAAGATATGCCTTTATTAGTCCCACAGTGGGGAAATTCCAGTGTTGCAACGCACAATTTCAGAACAGCAGGAAAAGGTAACACATATAATAAATAATAGCTTAAAATAATTTAAAAATAGACTTAAAAATAATTGCACATGGTTATGATTGACTGGTACATGTTCAGTGTTAACAGTGTTTGTTGTAAAACAAAACATTTTTTGACCAAAACGTCCAAGCTACTAGAGTTAAACTGCATAAATAGAGGATCATGAACCTGAAACTGTTAATAATTAATGGCAAGTCCATGACAGATAGCATTTTTTGATGCCAATTTATTTTTTATGTATACAAATTACAACTGATGGGATTAATATTTTGAAAATGTATTTAGTTGCAGAATACTGAACATCTACTTTAAAATGTATTTTCCAAAGTATCCCAACAAATGGTCCAATCAAAGTACTGCATTCTGAATACTTTTATATAACGCAACTCAATGTGAAATTATTCATAGGGTACAAATGTGACCAGGTTAATGCTGTTCAGATACCACTATGTATTCTTTGGATTTTTTTTTTAAAGTAACTGTATTCTGTACTAGAGCCCGACCGATATGGATTTTGCTGTGGCCGATATGAAACCGATATAATGGGAGTTTAAGCTGCCAATAGCTGATATAATCGCCGATATATTTAGTGATGTAAAAATTCACTGTAAATGTTGAATTGTTTAAAAAACTTAGGTTTGGCTCTGGTGGATTTTAAATTGGGTTTATTTAGGCAACATTTATTGTTATTCTGCCTCTTTACATCATATTTACAGACAGTAGGTTGGCTTAATGGCATTTTTGCATCACATTCTAGACACTAGTGATGGGTATTCCAGTTCTTTTGAGAGAACTGGCTCTTTTGGCTCGGCTCACTAAAAGCTGCTGATTCTTTTGGCTCCCAAGCGGCTCTTCAGATTGTTTTGTTGCAAGCAGGTCTAAAGCACGTCTAAAGCAGGACTGAATCAGGACTGAACCAGGTCTAAACCAGGACTGAAAAAGGTCTAAACCAGGACTTATTTATTTTATGCTAAACTACAGCCAAATATGCTCGTTTTTTGTTTGTTTTTTTATCCTATGTACACGCAAATTTCTCAAAGTTTCGTTTTCAGCCGCTGCCGCTGTCAAACCACGAGTCTGCACGCGGCGTGAACAGAAAAAAAGTAAGAGAAAGAGAAAACACGGCTCCCAATAAGGATCAGGCTCCCGTCGTTCCCTTTAAAGAGCCGGCTCGAAGAGTCATTTCGTTCGCGACCGATCCATAAGTAGTAAAGAAACTAGCGCTATTAGCCTTTAGCCGTAAATGCTGCGCGCCGGTAATTAATTATATGCGCAAATGTCATAATTCACACCTCTATTCACAGCTCATTTACATATCAGTGCTGGTCCAGTAACAAATATACGGCCAATGTAGTCACTTTACAATAGACCAATAGAAAACAGCCTGTTTATGTGCGGGAGCTACAGCAGCTAACCCATAACGAATGACTAAAACTAGCTTCAAAGTCGACATATTTCCAACACTCACCGCTCATACAGGCTCCTCTCACATCACAAGTCTGCACTAATAAATGTCCTTTTAATTCAGACTCAAACCAATTGTCCGTAAAAAGAATATAATCTCAATGTTTGGATCTGTGTCTGCGGATGTAAACAAACACACGTGAGTGACGCGACTCTATGGTGTGTTCAGGGACAATACGGACACAAGCACGGATAAATGACTCCGTAGATAAATACTGATGTGGAGCCACATATTAGGACATTTATCTGTCTGTAAATTGGATTAAATGAACATAAGTAGAGAGTCTAAGATTTTTAACGACGTATCACATGCCCACGTGAAATATCGGCCCCTATCAGCAAGCATATCGGCCGATAACCGATATGCCTCGAGGTGCCCATATCAGCCGATAATATCGGCCAACCGATATATCGGTCGGGCTCTATCTGTACACCACCAAATGAAAGAGTAACACTACCAGAGTGGTTACTCAAAATGAGTATTTTGAATATGTATTTTCAGTACATGTATTTAGTTACTTTCGCAACACTGCTTATTACTCCGGCTCATGTGCCATTTGGTTTAGCCTGTGATGTGTAAGTAATAATTAGACTTACCTCAGCGATCGTGCTCTTGCAAACTTCCACAGCAACAGACTCAAACTTGGGGTCAGTGGTCAGGTTCAGCTTGTAGTTCCACAACAACTGCAGAAAAAACACACAAAATATCAATATTAACCTTCAATGCAGAATAACTTAAAGGCGCACTGTGTAACTTCTCTGGTGGAGGACAAAAATGTTATTGCTTTATCTGGAATGTTTCACAGTATGGTATTAAACTTTTCTATCTTCATGGAGACTAAACCAGACCAAGTTACAGGTCAGATCAATGGAGAGTATTTTTGAGCTATAAAACCACCTGTAATTGAATAAATGTATGGTAGAGCTTTTTAATGTGATACTGTAGAACATTCCAGGCAGAGCAATGGCATAGCCACTGAAACAAGCACGTGACAGATCCCAAACCAAAAAGTTTCACAGTGCATCTTTAATAATGACACAAAGACATATTCCTTTTTTTCATATTACTGGTAGAATTCTAAATGCAGTGGTACTTACATGGTTGCACTCTGCAGAAATCTCGGTTTCCTGAAAGACAAAAGAAATTATTATTAGTTTAAAGGATTAACACTACAATGGAAAATGTTTATATTCAACCATGACAATTAGTACACAGTAGGATTGTCAAAAGTATTGAATATCAAATATAAAATCGATACTAAAACTAAGTATCGAAACCAGATCCTCATTTGAGCAGGTATCATACTCACAGAAATGACAGAATGAACCTTTCCTGAATAGCTTAGAATGATCTTGAGTTGTATCAGAACAAGTATAAGACCACATAGACTAGTATCTGTCCATGGACCACTGTGGGAACTACCTCTAACTGAGAGATTACACAAATACAAGGCCACATGGTAATTAAAAGAAGGTACAAAGCTTTAATGTTGAAAATCAATTCATTTTGTCTATATAAGGAGTGTTTTCATTTTGGTATTGGAACCTGTATTGGGGTATCGAGACTATTATTCCTACTACTATTCCTTTGTATCAAAATGGAGTTTGAAATTTTAGTATTGTATATTGACATACATATTTTTATATATATATATATATATATATATATATATATATATATATATATATATATATATATATATATATATATATATATAATATATATATATATATATATATATATATATATATATATATGTATATATATTATATATATATATATATATATATATATATATATATATATATATATATATATATATATATATATATGTATATATATATATATATATATATATATATATATATATATATATATATATATATATATATGTATGTATATACACACACACACACACACGCGCACACACATATATAAAAAAACTGCATTAGTAGGCTAGTCAGAATTAATACACCATTTAAAAGTACACTGCAATTACTCAAACAAACAAAAGAAAACAAGTGGGTTTCAAATTAAGCCACTGCCTGGTCATTTAGTCCTCTGAGTCACCACTAATAGGAGACGCGCATCCGCACCTCCCACAATGCACTGGGCTGACCCACATTTTGGTAGGATCTTAAAGTGTTTGGGTAGGTGGCCACTGAGAAGGAACAGGCTGACGTTTGGACAGAGATTTGATGGCTCTTTCCTGAGTTGACCTGAAATGACCTTTCCAAAGTCTGTGCCAGATTTTAAACAAAGAGAAACTCAATTGACTGTAGTATCCTCATGAGAGCTATAGCTGTGGGTGTGTGTATCTCTGTGCGTGTGTGTGTGTGTGTGTGTGTGTGTGTGTAAAACCAGGAGCGCAGATGGCAGAGGAGAGCCTGACAGTGCACCACATGGCAGCCACAGGAGCAGAGGAGCGGCCCTAGCTATTTACAACCCAGCTAACACACTAGTGACACTATTGTTCCACACACACACAGTCACAGACACACACACACACACACACACACACACAATCAGAGGAGAGAGAGGAGGTTTCCAAACACTGGGGAAGGCCCTGGAACTGGGTCAACTAAACATAAATGTATGGGGTCGGAATTGGCTCATTTTACGAATCTATTTTAAAATCAAAGAAAAGGGTGTGTTGTGCCAATAATGTTTTTCACAGAAGACAATGCACATTTCTGTAACGAGTGAGTTTCTTTTCATTAGTGGTATTGTATAAAATAAGACTCTGCACCATCTGTCTCACAAGAAGAAGAACCCACATTAGGGAGTTGAAGAGTATCTTTCCATTATGTGCATATCGTTTTTGGACCTTACCCACACATTACATTGGCTTGATTGGTCTAATGGCCAATCATCTAAAAAGTCAAAGCTGCCCACAATATCATGATCTGATGAATTTCTGGGCCTACAAGGTAAATAAAGAGTTTAATGTCAGTTTTAAATCCATTATGACTGTGATCCACACCAACATACTATGACATTTGTATTTGCTACTACCCCCTGTCTGTCCCTGCCCACCCTGCCCGCCCCTGCCAGGCCATACCACGAGAACCCCACCACAATGACAAAGAGACAGATGTTCAAACAGCATAGAGCTGACTCAGAGCTGGACAACTGGAGTGAACAGAAATAAATAAAAGTGGCTTCTCAAAAATGTGTCCGGACCACACCACCCACACAGTCAGATCCAAGCCGAGGATGCTCCAGCCTCCAGTCTGCAGTGGCTCTGTTAGCACCGGCTGTAATTATAAAACAAATACTGTCCTATATACTGCCAAGCAAGAGCTCTAGTGAAATAAACCTGTAATGTGTGGGTATATCTGCCTCACACATTTGACAAGACATTTTATTAAATTAGCACTACTCTATTAAATTTCAACCTGTCATAAGCAATAACAAATTAAGTTAAGCAAATTATGCATTTGATAAGATAAAGCGGCAAGAAGTCTGTTTTACATTCCAATCACGATTCTTTAAAACTTGCACTTCAAAGCAAAAATTGTTAATGTATGAATACACATTTCTCCAATAGTTTAAGAATAATGAGTCTAGTCACTGGTTGTATCTCCCAGAGTTTAGATGGCCATGATTGACAGGTGGATTAGCCAATCAGAGACACACATGGTCTGTCTGTATCAAAACAAATATGGGTGCTTATGACGAAAAACTGAAAAACATTGCACATTTTGGTGGAATCAATGAAGGAACAACGCACTAAAGTGTTAATCCTACAGAGGGAGTGGTGACCAGACTAATATATCCCTCTATATATAAAAATACAGGGATATCATTCTGGAAAGGGTAATGGGGTTTCAAGTCATCTAAGATGAAAAAAAAATTCTTAAACCAAATTCTTCTTGGGGATGTTTAGTAAATAAATTTATACTATAACAACTCTAGTTCTTCTTATTAAAACTAATAAAACACTGAATCATAGACACTATGACTTTGGCTCTGGTCTTAGCTCCTCTTTAGTGTGCTACTCAGTGAAAGCTGTGGGACTAGAGTGACTCATGGGGCGGAACTCAGCAAAGACAAAGCAGCTGCTTATGAGAAGGCCAAGAAAATATCACGCTGATAGTATTTCTGATTAATAAGCTTTAGAGAAAGATATAAATATTTTGTACAGCAACTGGAGAAAGCGTACATGCATAAGTAAGTATATGGTCCCCTACCTGCTTGAAAGTAGGTTAGTTAATTGCTAGAATATGTCACAGCATGGGTATACAATTCAGCATTACAACAATAGAAATAAAGAAAAAAGTATCAGTGTTTCAAAGTACTACAGTGAGGACGACGCCGACGACAATGATAGCGGCAACACTTTTACTGTAAAAAGGGGATAAAAATTCCAAACATTTTTCTTTCTTTTAAAAAGATGGCCAATATTAGCTTAAACGTTGATCTTTTTCAGTAAACAGAAATAGAAACTATAAACTTATTATTTAGTGCACCGTTGTAAATATTTAACAGTACAAAATATATACGAATGATGTCCATCCTTATCAAATCTATACAAATGCACTTTTTTATTACCATTGTATTCTATTCATTCATTGGATTATTAGTGAGCTTCAAAAATGCAGATAAGCACTGACAACAAAAAACTCCCGTAATAAGCTCAAGGAAACACAATGCAAATTTGAAGAATTCTAGTGAAACCAAGCAGAATACAAGTACTGTGTTTTCCCCATGGCTTTAAACAACTGGAAGAACTTTTCATTTCAAATTGACAAACTATTTGCAAATTGATAGCAATTTCTTACCAAAAACTAAATACTTACTCATTTGCCAATTAGCTGATTACAAACATTAAATGTGCTAAAAACAGCCTCACTGCCCAGCTGTCTTACAATTCAGAAAAAGAAAATCCACTCTTGCCTCCCCCACAAGAATTCTGCATTTTGAATTTGAAAACGACTGCTTTGTTTACCGCCTCCTCAGCTCAATACCTAAGAAGAAGCCTGCCATCAAGAGCCCTGTTGGGACTAATAAGTGCAGTTAATTCAAACATTATCAACTCTTCTCCTGGCTTTGACTGGAGGAAACCAGAGCGTTGAGGAGCTTTAATTGGTTAGTGGGTGAGAAGAGATGCACAGGAGAATGACATGAGGAAAGAGAGAGAAGAGAGAAAGAAAGAAGGAATAAAAGAAGTACCTAAATCCTGAGCTGTAATGAGGAACATACAGTATCAAGGATGTACCCATGGTATTACTGTCACTCCTGGAGGAGGTCTCTATAACATGAGATAGGGCTGTAGACTATTTTGCATTGTAAGGGATTTTAAATGGTACACCTATCTTGTATACTTTATGGCCTGTTACAATTTGACAGTCCTTAAAAAGATAACATCTTAAAGGTAATCTATTACACAAAATTGACTCTTGTGAGCTTTAAGCCATGTTATAATGTTGAACCTTCTCAAAAAGATCTTAGTGCAATGCAAGGTCACTTAAGCACAGATAGGCCTTGGGCTAAAAGCACTTTATCATCTAGGAACAATTCTACAACATTTAAGATAAGTTTAAACTTTCATCAATATAAGTTGTATGAATCACAATAAGTAATAATGATAACAAATTTTTGATTCAAGTAATTGTCACATCAGAGTTTTTATCTTTGCATACTTTAAATACAAGTTTTAGTCAAAAGGCCTGATTTTTTAAAAATGAAAAGCATATAGTGCCAGTTTGCAATCAACATCATTATCAATATCATATCTTGTAACTAAAGAGCTTAGTCAGGGTAAAGCTGGAGCTCTTATTGTTTCAGTTGCTTACATTTAAGTTACATGTTACAGGTCTTAAGGTAGTCAGCTTAATTCTAAAGTTCATTACTGTCACAGTAATGCTAACAACAACAAGCATGCTACCCGCGCACCAGAGAAGAGACAGAGGAGAAAAGGTAAGGAGCTGGATCACAGACAGGGAATGGGAGTGGGGGCAGACAGCAGCGCACACAGACAGGCTGAGGGAGATAGATTGGCAATAAATTTGCCTATTCTAGTAGCTTTTTCTTCAGTGCGATTACTTGATGACAACAGCAATGGCAAAAGGTAAGGGTCAAGCAAAGAAAAGTGCAATTTTTTTATGGTGCCACCTAACATTAA